AAAAAAAAAATCTTCAAGTTGAGGAATTTCGGTGCCAGCAATTTACCTTTGCTGATGTGCCTGGCGCTAGCGCCATATTTGGCATTTGTAATATATCCGCGCCAATAACCGTCTCCTCGTTAGCCATTGAAGTGTTGTGTACGAAGACATTGCTCTTGCCATAACGTTTGATAAGTATATTACCAATATCATCCATTTTAATTTTGAAACCTTCACCGACTGATTTTTTCGCTACTTTTGTATCAGCATCACGCATGGGATTATCAAAACCGCTCAAGCCGATTCTGCGTTTTGGAGAGGAAGAAGTTAATGTATAAGTTAAATGAGTTGTAAAAAAAAAAACGTATTTTTCGAAACACTCACCTTACGCCATCGAAACCATTTTTGCCACCATTTATAGTAATCACTGAAGATCTGGCATACGCTTTGGCAACTCTTCGATTCTTTTCGAATACTATAACCTTTGCCCAGATCTCATCATCGATTTGTTCCCATTTGCTGAGCACTTCATTAATGTGATCCTAAATAGGGGTAAGAAAAAGTATTCATTAGATTAATATTAAAATTACGATTAAGATTAGGATTAAGATTATGATTAAGGTGATGATTAAAGTAAAGCCAAAGATTAATATTGAGACTCAGATTCCGATTAAGGTTAAGATTAAGATTACGACAAAGATTAAGATTAAGGCTAAGGTTAAGGTTAAGGTTAAGGTTAAGGTTAAGATTAAAATAAAGTTTAAGATAAATATTAAGATTAAGATTAAGAATAAGAATATAATGATNATTAGGATAATAGAATATTATTAAGCAGAAAAATACTCATAAATATAATGTGGTGAGCCTTTACAGTGATAGGATTCTTTGTTTTTTAATTTAGGACTTACCCTAAATAGTTTCTCTTTATTATACCAGACATCCTCTTCCTCTTCGACATTTGGTATCAAATCCAGATTGTCGAGGGAACGCGAAATAATTTTCCGACGCGAAATCATTTTGTTAACACTTGGTTGCTGTGAACTACGTTTGCGTGTTGGCAGTATTTTGTGGCCGTTTATAAAAGCCGAAGCTTTTCAGTCTTTTCAAAAAAGAAAATGCAATGACTGAAAAAGAACAAAAATTAAAAAAATAAAAATAAGTAAAGTAATGAAATAAAGCACTAGCGAAATTATAGTGAAATAGCTTAATTAATAATAAAAGTAAATAAAAAACAACGTACGTGAGGTTGCATAAATTATTTTGTAGAGAGTAAAAATACTAATTTACGCAGAATCTAAATATTTATCTCTCGGTGGCCTTGGAATATTTCCAAATCAGGCTGATATGATTGGTTATATAGACCCGTTCATGTGGTATGGTTTAACATGGTTTCGGGGCCTACATATGTATGCATGGTACCGTAGGTGTTTGGGAGATAAGGGAGTGTAACCATCGCAGCACTTCCTCCTACGATCGTATGTATATTATCAAAATTCTCGAACATATGTATATATACAACCAACAACACGGAGAATATTTTTTGAATTTTTTGGATAGATATGCATGTAATGGGAATATACCAAAACTTTTACCTCAATAAAATTTCCGTTCCGATTTTATCAAATCACAAATGAAAGTTCTGAGCGTATTTGGGCATGCAAAAGAGTAATAATAATAAACAGAAAAAAAAAAAATTATATTGAGGTCATATCCCATCTCGCCTGAACTCATTTACGAAACACAAATATTAACTTAAACAAATTTTGTCTATGCCAACCGAAAAGGTAAAAGGAAATCAAGCAGCATTAGTACGCGCCAGTATTGCATGTAGAAACACCTACACTGAAGTAAAGTAAAAAAGCATGACGGCATAGAAAAAAAACCAAACAAAATGCTGGATAATAAAGAAAATAAAAACTTTACAAATTTTACATCAACCGTAATCATACAAAAAGCCGCAAAGTAAGCGGCGACAAATATTCGTTAGTGGTAACATGTGTCAGTGGCCAAGTCATATGCGCGTTAAATAACAGAACTTATGACTGTCAAATCACCAAACAGCCAAGCAACCAACCAACCACCGATTTTCGGTTATTGAACTCAAATTTGCGCTGGTGGTGTTTTTTGCGAATTTCAACAGCGTAAAAGAAAATGTCAAGCATTACAAAAAAATGCACTTTGTGCTAAAAATAGCAAATTAGTTGGAAAATATGCAAAAAAAAAACGTGGATATAGTAAGCGGCCTTTGTCGCCTGTGCTTGTTTTGTTTTTTTTTGGTTGGCTTCTGCGCCTTTGATACGTTAGCGTTATAAGTAGAGGCATGAGAATTGTAACAGTTCTGTCAGGCGCTTATGCCTGCGAATATTAATCAAAAAGTTGTTCACATAACAATGCCCCAGCAGCTGGTTGGTGAAGGTGTTTGTGGGCATGTCAAGCGATTGCATTGCGCCGCGCCCGTATCGTTATGCACTTGCAAGAACTGTGCGACAGACAATTGCTGCAAGAGAAATTGTAAGAATGTACGCAAGCAATATGAATACATAACTTTTTTTCAGGCTTTTGTGTGAAAGTTAGTTGGGGAATTTCATTCTTGGGCTGCCTTTCTTGGCAGGTGCGTGCGTGTAAATAAGTTGTGCGTGTGCTTATGGTGCGCCATTTATTGCATTAGTTCATTTGCACTCGAGTTACGTGCTTAGCATGACAGCGTGTCAGTCATATCAATTGTAATCACAAACCGCTAAACGCCTACAATCAACGGTGGCTTATCAAGCAGTTTGGTTTTTTAGCTTGCATACTTTTATCAATTGCTGCAACAATGCTTAAGGCGTACTACAATTATACATAGCACGAAAACACATACATAATTAAACAACAAAAAAAAACTGATTTCTGTAGCTGATTAAATGCTACCTGCATTTTTTATACCAAAATTCTTTAAATATTTGA